GTTCTTATATTTATCATCCACTGGTGGATACTGTTGTTCGGAGTAGTCTTCGTCTTCTTCCTCTTCCTCCTCTTCAACCTCGGATTCAGAAGGCACAACAATCCCTTTCCCTTTACCGGCCCCTTCATCAGACGTTGAGGGGAACTCAAGAACGTTCCTAGCATTGCTCTCAAACCTTCTTCCAAAAGTGGCCACCCCAGGTCTCTTTTTCTTTTTCTCTTTATTCTTCTCCAACAAAACTTTGAGGTCCTCTTGACCCTTTGCCAAGGTCATGAGGAGTTGCTGGAACTGTGAATTTTGTGCCTGCAGATCCTTTACCGTCTGCTCCAAATCCATCTTGCTGAAATAAACAGTAGAAAGATCAGGAAACCTGGCGTGAAGACCTGTTTATGCATATGATGAATGGTATGTTATTCATGTAATGCATTCAAGGGTTCAGAAATTCAAATTTGTTGCAAACAAGAAGAACGCACGTCATATTAAGAAGAAATTTGTTAGTACATAAGTGCCCCATGGGCGAAATATTACAAAATTCTTAATGTAAAAAGACATTGCGCATCCTCTTTGGAACGATGTAAGTGTTGAGAGTTTCCTCCTCGTGGAGTCGGCGGGTAAGCTCCAAAACCTTCTTCTCACTAGCATAGAAGCTGGCTTCAAAAGTATCTCGTTCTTCCTTGAGTTGGATCCAACTCTTTTGCATTTATTCCCATGATGTTGGCATGTCAAGATGCAGGATGGTGTATGGAACCTCTCATTCCATAACAGGCTCTTTGATCAAGGGGAGAATGGAACCTCCGCCCGATATGACCATGGTTGCGGTGAAAGATTCCCAAAGACTGTGGGAGGAGAAGTACATGGGGGTGTTCTCCATGTCTGGGTAATAGAAATCTTCCTGATGTGAGATGCTCATGGCGATCGAAATGGCATCGAGATTGGGGGACTTCTTCCCTTCCTCGATGTTTTTGGTTTCTGGATCTTCCTCGCGGACACCCTCCTTCTTTTTATACTGCTTGAGGTGCTAGTCTCTAATCAGTATTTCGATTGCATCCTTGAGATGAATGCAATCCTCTCTGTTATGCCCGTGACTCTTATGGAACATATAATATTTGCTCTTGTCGATTCCCTGTTTGGACGGTGTTTGTCGGGGGAAGTGCACCACGACTTGCTTAAATTCAGAATTGGCGTATTCGGAAAGAATACGCTCTCTTGAAATTGTCAGAGGGGTGTAGTCTTGGAAACGACCGACTGGCCCCTTGTAGTCCTTAGAATCGCGAGACTTATCTTCCCATTTCTTTTCTCCTCGGAGGATGTCGAGGGCTCGTCATTTTTTGAGGATATGACACTCTTTCTGTGTCTCGATTCCCTAGCGTTGTTGGTTGTTTCCTTCTCCTCGTACTGGATATACACCTGTGCCTTGAGGAGGAGGGAGTCGAGCGTGGCCGTTGTCTTAATGCCTACAGCCTTGGCAAAGTCACTGCAGGGACGGAGCCCGCATTCAAGGAGATATTTCTTCATGTTGTCGATCATTGAGACCTGGACTGCTTCCTTGTTGAAGCGTTCAATATACGCTCGTAGAGACTCATCTCTGCCCTAGATGATTGCTTCGAGTAAAGCCTCCGATTTCGGGTGTTAATGAGAGGCGGTGAAATACCTCAGAAATATCCTCCCGAGCTCCTTCCATGAGGTGATGGATTCATCGGGGAGGGTATTGTACCCCGACATCGCCCTCTTCTTGAGAGTGGTTGGGAAGAGTCTGCATTTGATGGCCCCTCTAACTCCTCGGTAGTCGAGGAGGGCGTCAATGTTCTCGATGTGCTCGTCAGGGTTTGTTGTTCCATTATAGGTTCCCAATGGAGGTGGCTTCTCCAGGCCAACAGGGAGTGGGCCCTCTGTAATCTCCCTCGATAGCGAGCCACGGGGCTCGTCATCCTCACTATCTACGGGAGATAGAGAAGGGGGAGTGATAGTTTCTTCCCTGTCGATCGTCACGGTCTCGGCGGAGGGGAGGGGCTCCTTCGTTTCTGCTTTGGTTTGGGCGAAGGCAATCGAGCGCGGTCGATTTGTCGGTTGTCTTTGCTCTTCTTGAATGAAGGGGGGGTCTTGATCTCTCGCAGGAGGTGGGCGGCTGCGTTTCTTGAAGAAAGAAACATTGTGTCTCTCCTTTTCTTGGTGGCAGGCCACGCTTGAGTGGCGACATATTAGGGGAGTTTCGTCATCGGGTTCTCTGAGGAGGAGATCTTGGTCGTCTGCTCTCCCAGGCCCCTATCCTTTGGTTCTGTTGTAGGATGAGGGCGTTGGTCTGATTGATAGCAGCGAGCAATGCTGCATGACCGGATAGGTATTAAGAGGGATGAGAGATGGTTGCAAGATGTCTGGTAGTTCCTCGGTGGGATTCTTGGGGTGTTCCTTGTCCAAGAATTGGTCATCGTCGCGTCGGGCGTTGGTTGAATCTGGAGACGCAGTCTGTCCGTCTCAGAAGCTCAAGTTGTCCTCGAGGTGAGGATGTTCCTTACTACCATCAATTTTATGAGCAGGGGAAAGAATAGTCTTTTTGGGAAGATGGAGATCATCATGGTCGGCCATGATTAGTGAGAGAAATCTTGAAAAGTTATTTTGGTCTTTAAGTTTCGAGGAAAGAAAGATGGTGAGAGCCGTCTCCCACAGACGGCGCACTGATCTTACCGGTTGATCAGAATCTGTGAAGTGGTCGGAAGATGATTTGTAGTCAGGCTATGATGTCGAGAAGGAAAAAGAGGGTTGTACCTGCAAGGCACTCTAACGACCAAGAGTGAGAACAAGGAGATATAAGCAAAGTATTAAGGTATTGGTGGTGAATAGTGAATATTCGATACCTGGCCCCCACAGGTGTGAGGGTTTATATAATGCCCCTGGCGCATGGTCATTGGTTCCTGATTTCACGCCTGGATATGTGGATCCTTAAAATCAGGCAACTGTCAGGGCATGGTCAAACCGGGCAGATGTGCCCATAACTAGTCGTTGGTTCTGAGGAGGGGTCAGTTACGGGCATCTCTCTGATCGGTTCCTGGTGTCCTGTACGACGCTGATGTCGGACAGACTGAGAGGATGCTCGTCGTTTATCCTAGGCCAGTGCTGACTTGGGAGGACAAATAATCGATATTGTCCGATAAATAGCAGACGGTTCGAATCATAGACGTGCGGACTGTACCAAAGTACGGGCCTAAACTGGATCATTCAAACTGTTGGACCAGTCCAAAACAAGACTAAAAATGAAATTTGAGATATTTAAAAAAACCGAAAACTTATTTAACCAAAATTTTTTTTCTAACAAGAATGAAACTTTTTGCCATATTGGTTGATTCAAACATGACGTCATAAGTTAGGCTTCGAATTTGACTAACAAAATTCCTATACCTTTTTATCATTGTCAAACATTTTTGTCCACACACTAAATATATACATAATTAAGAGTACATACAACACAACCTTCAATTGTAAGGACTTTGTGTATTTAATTTAATTTTATGTTGTCTTGTCTACCTTGAAATTAATATTTTTTTAAAGTATATGAGATTAAAAAAATCAAAGATGTCTCAAAATAATATATAACAGTTGTATGCAAAATTCAAGTATTTCCCTTTAGTTAAAGGAAGAGAATATTATACCCTATCTTGTGAGACAGGATGAGTGGAAAAAGGTGTTTTTTTCTACTCACTAAATGACAATGGTAACCAACGTATATATAAACAAAAACATTACAAAAATACGAAAGAAACAAACAAACATTAGGGAATACAAAAAAAATAGACCATATCATGGTCTATATATTCTTTGTGCAATTTGCCACTTTTGACATATAATCCACTAAAAGTATAGAACCTACCGTGCCCACTGTTTTCTCAAAAACAAACTTCAATTAATTGAAGAGGTAGCTAGCTAGCTTCTTTGAGCCTGCTGCAGTGGATGGACCAGCAACATTTATGTATGGCATAATGTACTTGATACAAATATATTGCTAGAATATTTGACATGGCCACTACCTTCCTTTCTAGTTGATAATCAATCATTCCTTTCCACTACTACAAAAAGAGAAGCATAAAATAGTCTATGGATATATGCAATTGGTAATGAGTCGACTCATATTCTCTACTGCAAAAGTGCGAGTTCAATTTATATTACGAGTTTTACACAATGATATATTATCTCAAAACATATTTATAAATGAAGACTTTGCTAATTTTGCAATGAACTAAACACCCCTAAATCTTAAAATAATGTCAAAGTCTATTTAACATTCATTACATCATATGGTATTTAAAATGATGTTAAAAGTCTATCTAATTCATTAGATAATCTAGTGTTAGGGATGTTAGGTTATTGTTATAGAACCACTCCTAAACATGAGAAAGTGTGTATTAGGAGTTTCACCTAAAGATTATTTTAGTGTCTATCTAATATTTATCAGATCATTTGATATTAAATTATTGTTATTGAACCATTGAAATAATTCTGGATATGAGAAAGTGTGTTAAGAGTTTCACATAAAAATATGTTAAATTTTATATAATATATATTAAATCATCTATTTTATTAGATTATCATTATCGAATCACTCAGTCAGCTAATGAATTTTTAAATTAGTGAATTTGCATTAACCGACTCATAATTTTTTTATTATTAAAAAAGAGAAGCATATAGTAAATAATGAGAAAAGAAAAATTGATAGTGACACTTTTGAAGTCTTTCGACCTCCCTATGCTATAAATATTTGACAACACCTTTCTCTTGTCTTCAATATATAGAACTACCTTGTGATTGAACTTTCAAAACTTGCTATAGCTACACTCTTCTTTTGAGCTTTCAAAACTTGCTATTGCTAAGCCAAGTTCTCATCTCCAAAGGCACAATCTAAAAGCTACAAATTCTTCATAGTTACAAGTTTTCACAAACAAGCACAAACCCATCACAATCATCATCCTCAAAATCACCTCTATCAACTTTTGATCATCATCATCATCATCATGAGCCTCTCAATGATCATGAGCAGATTAATCACACAACCTTTAATAAGCAATGTTCCATGCAATGGCAAAAAACTCAACACTCGACAAATTCAAAAAGAGAATGTAGTTTTAGTGATGGGAGCAACAGCCACAGGAAAATCAAAGCTATCAACTGACTTAGCAAACTATTTTCCATCTGAAATAATCAACTCCGACAAAATTCAAATCTACGAAGGTCTCGACATAGTAACAAACAAAATAACAAAAGAAGAACAAAAAGGAATACCTCATCATTTACTAGGAACACATAACCCCAACATAGAATTCACATCAAATGATTTTCGCGAAAAATCAACCTCGGCCATTGACTCAATCACAGGCCGAGGACATCTTCCCATCATCGTCGGAGGCTCGAACTCCTACCTCGAAGCCTTAATCGACGATGATGACTACAACTTTCGATCCAGATACAACTTCTGTTGTCTCTGGGTCGATGTTTCAATGCCTATTCTCCGTGCATACATAGAACAACGCGTGGATCAAATGTTTAACAACGGAATGATCAACGAGCTGCGTCCGTTTTATAACCCGACCGGAGATTATTCAAAAGGAATACGAAAAGCCATTGGTGTACCCGAGTTCGATGAGTATTTTCGAATGGAGAGTTTCGTGGACGAAAAGACTAGAAAAAATTTGCTAGAAAAAGCAGTGAGTGATATGAAGATAAACACATGGAAATTAGCTAGGAAACAGCTTGGGAAGATTGATTTTCTGAAGAATGTTAAGAGATGGGAGATTCATCGATTAGATGCTACACCTGTTTTTAGGAAGCGTGGAAAAGAAGCTAATGAAACATGGAACAAGATTGTTGCAGAGCCTAGTGCTATGATTGTGGCAAACTTTTTGTATAACTCTGCTAATGTTGTGAACTCTTCTTCTTCTTCTTCGAGGAATCTTAGAGTGCCAATTTCTCAGAGTGATCTTATGGCTGCTGCTACATGTTAGAAGATGATGGAATATTTTTTTCAGCACACAGAAATAATATATGTATAATTATATTATTATTGTTCAATTTTTGAGATTAAATAAATAAATAAACTTGTTTCATTTTTACATACTATGTATATTTCATCTCATTTAATATAGAGTTTTATATGAGTAGATTTTACTATGTAGATATTTGTTTAGATATTTTAAGAATTTTTTACACTTAAGTGACAATATGTAAAATTATGATTAGATAACTGTAAAAAAAATTTAATACTAGGAAAATTATGATTAGATAACTGTAAAAAAAAATTAATACTAGGAAAGTTTACGAACTAGGAAAGTTTAGGAAAGTTTATGATTTTGTGGATGGCATGACTATTATCCCAACTCCTGGAATTCTTGGTGAATGCGGATCAGGGTGGTCAACACTCTACTGATAGACAAGTGACGAGATGACGGGGCATGGTTGTACGTTTTAATCCTTAACTTTTGCCTGAACTGTCTTTTCATATTTTCAGTCTAACGGGATATTCTTTTTTGCCCAAGCCGCCTTTTTAGGTTTTCGATTTGCCGGGTGTACAGATTTTTTTATGTATATCACTGACTTTTTCCCGAACCCTTTTGGTTCGCCGGGATGCCCTTATTTTTTCCTAGGCCAGTCGACCTAGCGGGTCTTTGTTCATGCATAGTATTTTCCGACTATGTCCGTGTTCACGGGGTGTGGCAAATTGTCACTGTACATAGTAGTAAGTGTGTCTACACTGCCAGAAGATGTTTGCTTGATCGCACGTGATTCATTGCTGGAATTCATGCCCAATGCCCCAAGTGATTCAGATGGAGATCTGCCCCTGAAAATTTGACACTTTTAAGAGACTCCTCGAATCTTGACTTGACTGCCTCAGATTAGCTAGGCACCATGTCATGCCCCTTGATTATGGAAGGCCTGTTACTAGAAATGTTTTTTCCATCTGAGGTGATTATGTCCATTGAGAGGATTTATGTTCATCGAATATTCATTGTGTGAATTTCTCTACTGTTTAAAATAAATAGTCATATGCAATCAATGGTGTAGAGGAATGCAAATCTTATGTCTGTCTTGAAGTTTGAAAATTCATTTTTCTTTTGTAAAACAAACAAATTTTGTAAGAGTGTGATATCAACTCATGATTTGTAGCAAGTCCTACAGGAGTCAGGATACCTTTTATAACACTTATGCTTTCGAACTAACCCATGCTTCAGCTAGGACTTTTAAGGGTTGCAACATGGTCTGGTTCACAGTTTAAGAAACAAAGGGATAAAGGCTCTAAATTTATTTGTATACATCCCGTTCTTCGTGATGTTCTTCAGTCCTAAACTTAGTTAATTGTATGTTTAGATTCCAGTTGAGTCTGGAATCTTTGCTCTGATACTTGGTGATGGTACAGAAATTGAATGTTTGTTTGAGAAGGCAATCCTTTTCTTTTTTGTTGAGGATTCGTAGGACCTCTTTTTTTTATATTTTGTTATCCCTACTTTTTCCTGAACTATTTCTTATGATTACAGTCAGCAGGATGTCCCAGTTTTTCTTAAGTCTCCTTCATAGGTTTTTGACTTAACGGGCTTTTATTTTGAGGGATAATGACTGTCTGTCTTGACGATTATGTGGAACCATCATCATATTTTGGAGGTCATCTTCTACACTATTTGTCGTGTATGAAGGTAGAGCTTGCGACTGAATGCACATCTGAATTAACTAAGAAAACTACCCTGCCCCAGGTTATGATTAAGAGTTTTAGTTTGTATGAAAAGAAAAACTTTAGCTTCTTAGGCTCAAAGGGGTTGACTAGGGATTATCTTCCTTATCGCTCCACTGTTTAGGATTTGAAACAACGGCTGTACATCGTCAGTGGGGTTTGTTCAAAAGCATATTGTAGAGATTATAGTATCTTTTTCGTCATCTTCCCTCTAAAGGCTTAGAGCTTTTAATCGAGAGTTGAATATCATGAAAAGGAAGTAAAAACACAGTTTGAATATAATGAATACGAATGAAATAATTCAAGACAAAATATATGTGATGCATTAATATGAATAACTAAATTTGACATAAAGACAAATGTTTTAAGCAAACAAAGAAATTACAATTGATAATTCAAATGAAATAGACGCTCTCAATTTTGGCCATGATTTGGCATGGGAGCAATGATCACATTGGGAGCCTTAGGAGGGTCAAATTTAATCTCCTTATTGTCGATCAAATCTTGAATCTTGTTCTTAAAAGTCCAACAGTTATCGGTGTCATGACCAGGACTATCAGAATGGTAGGCACATCTTACATTTAGATTGTACTTAGGAGAGGAGGTATCGAGATTTTGAGGAGGATCCTTTAGTATAATCAGTTCCGCTTTCAGCAAATGTTGTAACGCTTGAGACATTGGCATATTAATCTTAGCGTACTACCTTTCTTGGTATTTTACCTTACGCCTATTGCCCTGTCGTTTTTGAATAGGTGTAGGATTAAAGATTAGCACCGGTCTCACGGACTGATGGTGGTCCTTTTTACTATAGCCCCTTTGATCATGGACAACATTAATTTATTTTTTACCACCAAATGGCCTCTTCTCAGCATTAGAGGATGAGGCCACCAGGATCTTCCCACTCTTGATACCGCTTTCGATCCTCTCCCCAATCAGAACCATCTCTATAAAACCGGATGAAGAACTCCCAATCAGCAGATTGAAGAACGAGCCTGTCAGAGTTCCCATGAACATGTCTACCATTTCCCGATCATTCAGAGGAGGTTGCACCCTGCCAGCTAAATCTCTCCATTTCTGTGCATATTCCTTGAACCATTCTCTTGAGCCCATGGACATATTCTGCAATTGCACTCGAGTTGGTGTCGGGTCAGCATTATATTGGTACTGCTTATAGACAGCAGCAGCCAAGTCTTCCCAGGTATGAATGTCAGTTCCTTCTAACTGATAGAACCACTCCAGTTGAGTGCCAGCCAAACTTTATTGGAAGAAATGGACCCATAACTTCCGGTCAACAGTGTGAGGTTGAATCTTCCTGACATATGACCTCAAGTGCAGCTTAGGACGGTAGATACCGTCATACTTAGCAAATGTAGGGACTTTGAACTTTGGTGGGATGACCACTCTAGAAACCAGCCCTAACTCTTCAAAGTCCAAGCCAGGTACCTGCCGAATCTCCATAGCATTGAGGCGATCCTCCAGCTGTTTGTATTTATCATTGGCGGGAGGATATTGTTCCTCAGAGTAATCAGCTTCTTCTTTGTCAGTCCCCAAGTTGTTATCTTCTTCATGATTGTCCTCCTCATTTGATGGAGTTGAGAGATCTAGAGCTCGCTTAGCCGGTCCTCTGAACCTTCTACCTAAATTCAAGACACCAGCTGGTTTCTTTGCCTTCTTGGTCTTTTCTTTAATGATCAGAGCTTTCAGATCTTCTTGCCCCTTGGCCAAAACTAGGAACATTTGTTGGAACTGAGCGTTTTGAACTTGAAGATCCTTAACTGTCTGTTCAAGAGCCATTTCTTTTTGCTTAAATAAACAGCGAAAAGATGAGAAACATGTCCTGTAAAAAACCTGTTATGCAATGATATGCATGATATGGAAATGTTTTCAAGGATCTTGCGGGGTAAACACAAGAAAATGTCAGAAGTTGAATTTTGACTATAACTTTGACGGAAGAACTTCGTATCGTTGAATGTACTTCTACAAGAATCAAGCTCACCATGTCGAATGGGTCATAGCCTCTGACTCAAGTTGTCTTGTATTGGTATTTTGACAACATTGGCTATAGGAAAATAAATCCCCTCGCCCCTTGCTAGACGTATGGTTCATCATAACCTGCATCACAGGCCCTTTGAGATCCTTGAAATGGTTAAGGAAATGCTATGGTATGATGTTATGGCATGTATTCTATGCAACAAGCAAAAGTGTAAGGTGATGAAGACAAGTGAGTCTTGCAAGAAGTCCAGGTTATTGAATAATGACTACAAACAAGTCCTGTAAGGAGTACAAATAAATCCCTGCAATAAGTTCAAGTTGTTAGGCAATGAAAGCAAACAAGTCACACAAGTAGCCTTAGGTTTAGGCTTGAATTGAGTTTGTAGGTAAGTACCCTCTTGAAGTTTAGTTGGTTCAACCTGTCCTAGTAATAGTAACTGGGTTCTAGGGGATCTCAACATCACTGATCTTTCTTCACCGGACATTGTTTCAGCGCAAGCCTCTTTATTGGCGATCGAAATATCCCAGAAGTCAGATCTCAATGAGTGTAGTATCGAGTATCAACCAACTTCAGACTGCACCAAAGTCGGCTATCTCACTACTTCCTAATGGCCAAGTTGTTCAATTAAAGGTTCTAAGGTCAGTTTGTGCTTCGTGACACCACACAGCGGCCCCGTATTCTCCTTGACTACTCAAGGGCTACCGGTACCAACAAATGTGTCACACCAACGTAGATATCGTTTCAAGCGTGTTCGTATACCCGACACAGTCACCACGATCTATTTCTACTTACCTAAAAGGTTCCCCAGGTCCGGGTGTAGGATCTTTACAAGTGAACCCAAACAAAAGCCTTAAAGATAAAGAAATCAAAGCATACAAGGAAAGAAAATTAAATATGACCTAAGCTCTAAGGTAACCCCACTTTTTTTAATCCCCAGTAGAGTCGCCAGTTCTTTAATACGGTGGCAGAATTGACTGTTATACTGGTTTTGCGTTTGTGTTCGTAAATGCTGCGGTAAGTAAGAGTCGCCACCAACTTTTCTTTTATCCAAATTAAGGAAAGAGTGAAAAGAATAGGAAAAGATCTTTTCGAGAATTTTCTGAGTAAGGGGGGTAGGTTATGGAAAGGGAAGGTGTTTGCACCCTTCTATCCGTAGTATTCTATGGAACTTAGATGCTTAGCTCATTTTTTAAATACTTAGTGCTTTTGTGTTTTGAAAAGTATTTTTGAAAATGACTTAGTGCGGCGATTCGCTTTATGATAACTCTTGTATCAGTCCTCAAGAGTGT